GTCAGATGAATCATATTTCTAGAGGCTAAACTGTTTTCAGACAGAAGGCAGGGAAATGTTCACCTCACGTTAGTGTTATTACAAACAGTGTTATTTTTGTTTATATTTCATATAGCCTAATTTATCCTTGGTTATTTTATTTATTTTTGGTAATGTTTAGAAAGAACAAATTTAATTATAATAAATCATATAACTTTAATAAAAATGTTATATGACTAAATTAGTGCAAAAGTGCTGCAATTTTTTATCTCAGTAATTTCTGCTGTTTACTCTCAGTACATGTTTAAATATTAATTTATTGCATTTATGTAATGACATAAAAGATGCTATTCATTAAGTTATTAGTTAAGCTTTTGGCCTACTTCTTCTCTGATCGTCTTTATTGGGGGAAGGCATCCCAATAGCCTTTTTTCATTGGATCATTGCTGACAAAGCTGCCCTCCATTTTGCCATCGCGGTATACGGTTTTCGTAATGTCCTCACCACAGCTATCCAGACTCCCACTATTACTACTGTACTCTGAAACAAATTTTAAAGTGAAGAGTTAAAAATTGGATACATTGAAACAAGAGTACCCTTCCAGTCGACCTGTACATATGGTCAATATACTATTATTATCTCTCCAGCCATTAATTCATATTTTAATTAATAGAATGGCAACAGGCCATGTGATGATGCTAGATTTTGTTGTTGTCGTGCTTCTACACCTACCAGCATTACCCCGTTTACTGATCCGGTCGTGTTTATTCTACAAGGTGAAAGCAGAAGGTATGGATGATAATCAGCTTCCATGTGCAGTACAAGTGACTGGCTGGCATCTTCATAATGACTCATAGTCGTGCTCAGATCCTGTCGTCCATCTCTGGGATTGATTCTGGGAGAGATTATGTCCCGCGACCTGGTTCCTGGTTGGCGGGGGGGGGCGTTATCCCAGGCGGGGAGTGTGAGACATCACTGGACTGACAGGGTCAGACAAGGATCAGCTACTCATGCATTTTTACACTGTTGTCTTTCTCTTTCTCTAAGCCACTTGACATTTCTTCCCCATTGCCCTGCTGGCCAGTGCTTCAAATGCTTGTATTCAAAGGGCTTCCACATATGCCCTTGCACTGCAAAACACTGCAATTTTTGCTGCAGGTCCCCTCCTTTTAGTGTTCATAGACGATGCAACTGCTGCAGAAGTAAACAACTAACCAGACAGCAGAGAACAGAGACACTTTACTTTGCTAGTGACTTACAGCGTTGTACAAAGCACACATTGTTACACTCTATACGGCATCAGTGCACTCCAAGCAGCTCTCTCACTACCTCTTGCACAGTCCTCTCTCCTGGGTGTTGCTTACCCGTTCACTGCCTTTACTGCCATATCTAAATGCCACCATTAATGAGATAAATACTATGCATGCATCCACAGCGATACACAGGTCCCAGATCTTAAATGGGCTCCCAGTAAATAGTAATTAATAAGGTCTTTCTGTCATATTAAACAAAACAACCATAAATCCAAAATTATTTAGCAGAATATTCTTGTTCTAGCAGCTGAAGATAAGAACTCTGTCAGAGGATTCAGGTGCTGGTCACCTTGAAAAGCTGCTGTTTTTCATTCCGATGATTTGAATACTAGGTGCTGCAAGGTCGCCTTAACACTTGTGATTGCAGCACTCGGTCAAGAACTGGCCATTTTAATTTCAGGACCGGATACCCTATGGAGACAAATGACTAAGCTAGAGGACTGCCATTCCATGTAAGCAACATCAATTGGATTACCGGAATGCTCTCAGAATGATTACAATGCGGACGCAGGTGTAAAAGCCAGATCCATAGTGGATTGTATTCCTTTTATCGAAATGGATTACATTCCGTACGCTATTCGCTTAGCAGAAAGCCTCCTTGAGACTGACTTACAGAGCCCAGCCGGATCTGAGCATCACGGCAACAAGCACAACACGGAGTCCATCCCCCTGGGCTATACCCACAACCCACGACACTCATCTGCAGATTGAACATGGAGTGGAGGCAGCACAAAGTAGCTAACAAATAAAGAAACAGCTGCCGTTCAGATGTTTTTAGAAAACAAAGCACATGCACAACAACAAAGATACATGGATCATCTACATTTAATGAATTAAATATGCATTTCAAAACAGTGCAAATTCTGTACTGTTTTTCCATCCATCAATCATGGGCCAGGCCATGGGAGTCTCCTGTTTTTGTTTAATATGAAGCTAAATGAAGTGCGCACATTATTTCTTCATACTGAACCTTTTCATCAGTGATCATCAATTTGTTTTCCTCCCAGTAATATTAAAAATAGCAGATAATTATGCAGACATTTGGAAATAATATTATTTATAGCTGGGATTGAACTCCCAAGAGTAGTTCGGTTGCTCTTTCCTCTGGCAATAAATCTAACATGCTTTAAATATCCAGCTAAGGATAATTATTAGTGTAAAACCTTAAATGAAGTAACACTGGATAATGCTCACATGTTTATGTTCACATAATAAAGATTCTCCATCCAGTCTTAAGGCTTTTCTTTAAACTAGGCTTGTTAGTAACAAAAAATATTCTTTAAACATTATTGATTATATTATTGATACCTGGGGAAAACACCATTATTTTAAGGTGGCATAATTGCTTTTTTAATATACAGATAGAATCTTCATTAAAGGCTATTAACTGATGTTTCCATCTTGTATTACTAATCACCAGTGTGATAACCTTCCCATTACATATCTTAAGCATTGCCTTAAGCATGATTAAGTTATGATAAGTAATGTTCATGCGCTGCTTTACATTATTTAGTACATTCTGGTGATTTCCATAATTGCAGTGGACATACTTTGATGAGGCAGGATGCATTAGAGAGCGGGAGAAGCATGACACATTGCCTTATAGTGATAACAGTGGTAACATTCCATGACAGGCACATACAATTCTATTGTTACCAATAATATGTAAAAGTCAGTGACAGATTAAAGAACAACATTGAACTGGCCAGAGTGTATGCATCTGTGTGCCCTGCAATGCACTGGAATCCCATCGAGGGTGTCCTCGATGCTGCAGCCTCACTGTGACCTCGTAAGTGGTCGGAAGATGGATGGAATGGATGGATGGATGGATGGATGGACAGATCTTTTACAACTTGCATTATATTGCATTAAAACACTGTTAACTATTACATTATTCTTGATTAAAACACCGCTTTGGTTCCCAAACCTCTCTTCAGAGGCACCTCAGCCATTCCATGCATTCATTAATTTATTAATTGAGCTGGTGATGCAATTTAACTTAAGTAGTTAAATAACTCAATGAGGTACTGATTAGCCTAACAATGTGGGTTAGTGGTTGATTCAAAAAATACACAGGTGTATGCAACAGTTGCTGCAAATACTGGGGTAAACTTAGGAGATGTTTTGAAACGAATACTAAACTGACACACTTTAATGACAGACAGTATAGTTTTACACCACTTTCTCTGACTGCCTAAGACTTTTGCAAGTACTGTATATATACTTTTGCAAGTACTGCACACTCACACACACACACACACACACACACACACACACACACACACACACACACACACACATACACACAGATAAGAGCACATGACACTGTGGAGCCCTGGAAGAGGCCAGCCAAGTTCTCTCACGCTTGACAGATTCAATCTGTTCTCAGGATGACTGAATAATTGAAAGTTCTAACTCAAGACCATCTGGCTTCTACGGAGGCTAGAGAAGGATCCCAAGTTCGTCTAATACATTTGGTGACCCGCTGTAAAACTAAGCTATCAGTATCTCCACTGGACAAGAAATTCAATATCTTCTCCCAACACGATTACTGATAGTGATGGCAATACCACTGTACTGTAGTTTCTACAGTTTATTTTTTTTTTGGTCGTCTGCCAGGGATTTCTCAGTATTTGATCACGAGTATTGTTTGACATTGTTTATTCTTTGTAGGTCAGGGTAAACTTATGTTTATGTTTAATGTGCCCACAGTAGACAGGCATTCCTGTTAAATCCCCCTCTGATGGATTATCATGCACTTGTAGTTACATACTTTGCAGATATATTAAGCTTATGAGTACTTGATGAAACTGCAAATACTTTGCACCATTCCTTTGCAAGACTTGTAGCTTAATTCACTGTGTAAGTATTGCTACTGTCCGTTTATATATTTTTCTTACAGCATTTTGGTGAAAGATAACTTAAGTTCAACATTCCAGTTAATTTTGGGCTTCATCCTGCATTGTGCAAGAGTTCCAGCTGCAGCCTCCTGGAATGAATTATCAGATATTTGTTCTTACACAATTTTTGGATAAATAAAGTGCTTAGTGCTGTGAATATTGCAGTTTCAGTGTCGGCCGCACCTGCGCTACATCCCCAGAGTGCACAGTCAACATACAGTTGTGAGGACAACAGCAAACAGGTTTATGTCCCACATAGACCAGCTGAGTCCCCATATTTTGACATGACTGTGAATTGTGATAGGGTTGCAAGTTCAGTTCTTGCCATCAGCTCTCTGTGCAGAGTCTGCATATTCTCCGTGTTTATACAGGTATCTTACGGCACTCCCATTTCCTCAGAAGTCCAGAAATATACAGTTATGTGAGTCAGTATCTCAAAATTGCCACAACTGTGCCATTGTGTGCATGTGCGTGTGCCCCACAAAGGGGCGTCATGCCTTCCAGTGTCCCCCGCCCCGCGGCTTGCTGGGAAATGCTACAGGCGTCCGACGACCCCGTAGTAAAAACGTCGTGTGGAGAATAAAAGGATGGATTTATTTTAATGTAAGGCAATTTAAGGAAAGCTGATACATTCCAGGCTGCCATTAAGATATGTAAATTCATTTCTGCTGATTATTGTGAACGTCAGACAAAAAACACACCCTAGCAACCCGCAGCTTTTTATTGAATGAAGCGGCTTCGGTCCTCCTTTATATGTCACCGTAGCGCCACGTGACCCGGCGGCCGCCGCCGTTACCTGTCTGCGTAAAGGAACGAGCGACGCGAGATTGGGCGCTTATAAGGAGGTTTATCTAATGGATAGCGCTTAAAAACAGCAAGAAAAGTTGGTGTAACTGAGAGGTGAATGTACGTCCGTGTGTGTGAGGGAGAACGGAGGGCGGAATAGAGAGAGAGCGCGAGGGAGAGAGAGAGATAGAGGGAGTGGGGGAGAGTGTGTGAGAGAGAGAGAGAGAGAAGAAAAGCACCTGGTGACGGGCAGCGCGGGGAAATGGGGGGAAGCGTCTCGACCTGCGCCGCGTCTCCGCCCTCTGCTGCATGTCCACGCTGAGAGGATAGCCGTGTCCCGCGGAGGATGCCGAGCAGGTAGGGCGGCGGCTCGGCGCCGGTGTCGCTGCTGGGGGGTGGCGGCTTGGGAGGGGGTGCGAAGTGCGGGTCGGAGAAATGCTCGGAGTGCATGAATACGACAAGCAATTAGCGGTTTGTACACCTAAGTGGCCATGCTGAGGGGGCATTAAATATATATTGCTTTATTTTATATTGGGATAATGAGACTCGCAGTTAAGCAGCAGCCGCCTGAAACACCTGGTAATACTTGGGGATGATTAAGATAACTGTGTCGCCGGGCGGAACAAAGCGACGTTCTTCTTAAGTTTTAGAGATGTACAGACAGGTGTGAAACTGATTGTGGTATTTCTATATGGACAGATTTCTTTCGTTTAGTCATTTATTTCGCATTTGTCGTGAAGTTGACGTCGTGGGGGCAACTTAGTGCAGACACTACAGGTCAGGAGCCTGACTGAGATCTCCGTCGCTATATTAAACCGCGGATATAGGGCAAGAATCAAGCAATACACATTTATCAGCGCTTGGATAAATTCTGCAATTTAATTATGTTAATGAAATACGTGGTGGCCGTGAGGATCTACCGGTACGCCGGTTAATGTTCGGCTGCTGTTTATCCATGAGCGTGACGAATGTCTCACTTTGGAGAGAAATTGAAACAAAAAGTTAGTGCCGCATGATTTCTTTTTAAAATTACACACTTAACATATTACGATTTCATTATAGTGATAACCCAATCAAGTAATGAAGTTGTCTGCCGCATTTAATGAGGAAATAAATCTGGACATGCTGACTGATTTGATCTGGACAGACTTACGTGATTTGGGCGTTAATCCGTTTTGTGTTATTATGTTACTAGTATTATATTATATTATCGTGTTTGTCTATATTATTTTCTTACATGCAGCAGTGAGGTGACGAGTATTTAAAATACAGCGTAATATGGTGAAAAACTGTGCAAAGAATACTGTATAATTCGCTGCCTTTTAACAATTCCCGGGATGTTATTTTACATGATGTTCAGATTCCTTTGGCTGTGGTAGTTCGGTTGGTCTCGCAGTATGTCTCTGTGCTATCTGGAAGAAAACATCAGCATACTCGGACGAAGCCGCGACGCCTTGTGGAGGCATCTCTGATGCCCGGGGGCGTGTGTTGCACCATTTGCCTTTTCGCTTGTGCCAGTTTGGCAGAAAAGGGATATATTTGCACATTGCGCTACCATAACAAGGGGGATTTCATACCAGCTGCTTTAGCAAAAGATATTTGATAAAGAGGACATGAGGAAGTGTTTCAAGCCTAATCACTGGCTTTCTTGTAAAGCCCCAATCTAAATCTTCTGGGCTGCCTCCAGAGGTTTCCCTTAATAGTTTGGAAGTATGGAGAGCTCCGCAGTGCATTTTTTATGAGTACCTCTCCAAGAGCACCCACAGTAGCAGATTTAGCCCAGGGAAGAAATGTGATTTATTTAGTGCTGACAGAAACACATAGTTGGGACCCAGACCTAAACACGAGCAGCTGAATTTAAATAATGAAATAAACAAGTAAATAAATGCATCAATTTTTTAAAACCGCTCGAAGTATGAAACAGACTCACTAAAGATGCGCATGGGGAAGAGCAACCAAACAGATTGAGTACGTGGAGCAGTGCTTCGAGAGAGTGGCGTATAAGCGTTCCCCCAGCCTGTGAGGGTTAGGGAGCGCTCTGCTTTTTCGGTTTACCCTTTCATGCAGCTGTCCCTCAAAGCACTGCCTCACTGCAGTCAGGATGTGCCTGTACGGTACATTACAGGGGCTGCTGGATTGCACTAAAAGACCCTCCTTTATACATAGCTTAGAATAAAACCTGTTGATCTTGGGTTCTGTCCTCAACCCCCAACACACACACACAAAATCACACCTTAAGCCCAAGCAATGGTTGCTGTGCTGCCGATCGCCTTACAGAGCTCAATTAACGTGACGGTGACAAACCAAGGGTTCAAGCTACTGCACCATATTAATCTTAATGACAGAGCAGGGAACAAGCTTCCCCTTAAAGGGAATTAAAGACTAGGAGCTCTGTTTGGAAACAAGATGGCATAATGTTGACCTTCAGGGAGGAGGTGAGAGCAGAGTATCCTGCGTGGCTTGGCAGCATGACTGGTGCTTTGAAGAGATGCCAGGTGCAGTAAAACTGTCTGTGGAGAGCAAAAAGAAACTCTGGTCACTTTATCATTTCTGTGGCACATGGGGAACAAATCAAAACTTTGTCCTTCCTGATGCGAGTCTGCTCTCCAACTGTTCCTCTCTTATCCTGTCACCTTTTTCAAGAAGTATGGGTTTCATGTTGTTGGAAGTTAGTAATTATTTGTTATCAGTTTTAATTTTGTCGCAATTTGGAAGTAGTTTGTTTCTGCTTGCGTCGGCTAGGGGTATTGCTGGTGAGTGAAGGAACTGCAAATGTCGTTAAAATCGTTACATTTTTACAAGTCTTCATTGTATGTAAGACCATATTTCAAACAGACTGATGTGGGTGATGTGTATCACCACTCTTCTGCCATTCTGGAGGAGTGTGGTCTGTGATTCCATTAGCATGTTGAACTAGAGCAATATCAGCCTTAAATAATGTTGATCTATTGGCAGCTTTGAACTTGGCTGCCTTCTGAAAATACTGCAAATCTCTAAGTGACAGAGATAAATGGCACAAGCTAATTGCTAGCATTCTACACATACCCAAGAATCAGGGTTGCAGTTGCAAAGATGGGTTCAGGAATGCATCAATTCGCAAACCTCACATTCCTCAGTCATCTTCTTGTCGCTTATGATTTATTGAAAAGGTAACCGTGTCTCTTCTTCCCAGACTGATGATGTTACTCCTTTGCTTTAAAGACTTTGCTGGTTGAAATGGATATATTCTGTTTATCCTCCTGGAAACAACTTTGAGTCCTGTGATGTTACTTGTGGGGGAAAACAAACCAATTTCAGATATGGCTGGAAATTGGCACTCTGTATTACATCCATTGTAGCCAAAAAGTTTCACTGTAGGTATCCCTTAAAAGCACTATTTGTGCCAACTACAGGATACATGCATTTACATTTCTTTTTCGGTTTACAGTTTTTCTGAACTCAGCAGGTTTGATATTTCACTTGCACTTTGCTGGACTCCAGTGAAAATGGTACCTTTCCATTTTTAGATGACCACCAAAGCTCTGTACCATGAAACTGTTCCTAGCTAATATACATCAATGTATTACTGCACTGATGGTATTTATATCCTTTTAAAGTTATTGCAACATGGACTAAATAGTGGTAAGGACTATCATGAGTGGCATTTATATTTTTATGAAAAGCTTTTAAAATGCACTTTCCCATATGCCTAAAATGTCATTATGTGTCTTTAAAATAACGATCCACCCTCCTCTGTCCTGAATAGTGAACAGTTGAACTGACAAACGTCGATGGTGGATAAAAATGCTTTTTTTAAAATCACATGTTCATTTAGTATAGCTCAACAGATATTTTATGATTAACACATCTAAAGGTTTCCATATATTTTCGACATACTGTCAGTCAATGCTTTCATTCCCGACCTACCTTTTTGTCCTTTTAATTGAATGTTTTTGAAATGCTTTTTATCTTTTTCTGTTAACTGCTGTCAATGTGCTATGTGAAAAGATACCTTTTTAGTGAATTGAAATCATAAATGACATTGCCTGGCATTCCGTAGTTTTTTTTTCTATTTCCACAGTTGTTTTGCTGAAACCTAATATTAAATCTGTCTTAACTTACCCTGAAATTTTCTAGAGTACTGGATCTGTTTTACTACCATTTTTGAAGGGGTATGATCATATAGGCACACACTTGGACTGATTGTGTACAAAAGGATATTTACATTGCTTTAGATATTGTGTAGACACATTTTGCACCCACAGAAAGCCCTTTGTGGATGATCATATTCTAGCCTTAGACTCTTGTATCGCAGCACCATTCCCTGCTCCATTGACTTGGTCTACGTTGCTTAATTAAAGTTTGAAACATGCCATAATAGGATGGATACATCAGCTCTGTGGACCAGCTAGATTTAAAGTACATTGAGTGTCTCTTGTAAGATCAACTGTACTGATTGTGGCATGGAGGCTTTCTGAGGGGGAGAAAAGGATCAAGATTGTTCTGGCATGGGTTCCTCTCGGTGCACTGCTCCACTCATGTAATCGACTTCAGGATACATAAATAATGAGTGGAGCTCCACATGCTTGATGGATACTGTTAAGCTTCTTTCTGTAGTACTCCTTGCAGATGCAAAGGCTTTCCCTTTCTGCCTTGCCAGTAGGATCTCAAGCTTCTCTTGTGTGCGAGTGCTACTGAACTGATAAAGATGAGCGGCAGCTTTCCTGAATGGAGATCTTGTATGCTCCCTCTAGCAAAATAAGCCAACGGTATGTATACAACCCAGATGGAAGGTCAACGTACATTACAGGCTTAATCTTGAGAATGTGCACCAGTCATTCCATAAGTGCATGCTCTTGGTCTGTGACAGGAGATCAGACACACTCAAGAAAATCTACACTTATAAGAGTAGTTAGTTGGGACAGAGGGGTGGTCGCCTCACACAATTTCGTTCTGCCTGCATCTGTCTTTGTACTGTTGTATGGTGTGAATGACAATAAAATTTCACTTAACTTCACCTCTGGGACCTGGGTTCGAGTCTCCACCAGGGTTCCATGTGTGTGGAGTTTGCATGTTCTCCCCATGTGGTTGCGGGGTTTCCTCCAGGTACTCCGGTTTCCCCCCCACAGTCGAGAAGCATGCTGAGGCTAATTGGAGTTACCAAATTGCCCGTAGATGTGCATGTGTGTGCGAGCGTGCCCTGCTATGGGTTGGCACCCCATCCCAGGTTGTTCCCGGTCTTGCACCTGTAGCCTCTAGGAAAGACTCCGGGCCTCCAGTGGCCCTGTGTAGGACTGGCAGTTTCAGAAGATGGATGGATGGATGGATGGAGTTGGGAAGGTGATGTTTACGAAGTGCCTTTTTACCTCATTAATGGG